TGTGTTTCCTCTCTTATGAAGTCTAATGCTTGTGTAAACAGAGCAGCTTAACAGCTCCATGCCACAGATTGATGTTCAAAGCCAATTCCCACCACTCTGACAACAAACCAGATCCAATTTTGAAAGGCCACCTCAAAATTCAGTGTTTTTCTTTCACTCCGACCTTTACTCTTAAGCCATGAGTGATGCTACAGTTTAACAGGGCTCAGTGCACTAGCCTGAGCCAAAATGTCCTCGTGTCATTAGGGACTTCCAAAGCTTCTGGAAAAAAATGTGCCATCAACCTCCTGCTGCTCTCCAGCTGAGATGCTCAGGCCCAGGAAACACTACTGCTAATGATGCAACCTTGTCCGCTGGCATTTAACAAGAGCAATGCCAAAAAAAGTTAAAATCTATAAAAACACATATGAAAATAATAAATCATCTTCTTTCTCACACAGCCTTTCTCCAGATTACTTTTGATTGCCATGTGCACAGGTGAGCTGTACCACTAGTCACATCAGCACTGTACAAGATTCACCTGCACTCTGGATCCTGGGAGGAAAGGTCCCCACCCCACTTCCCTTTGTTCTCTTTCTTCCCTGACTCTAGGGAAGGGTTATTTTTTCCTTCACTTTTTCATCTGAAGACTTATAAATAAGTTATTTTCAAATTTGAATTCAACCTGTTCACACTAGCAGAGTAAAATCCACAAAAGAAACTCCAGATTTCAGTACCACGGCCACTGGATTGAAGAGATACTTAAATTCTTATCCAAGTGGAGAGTAATTATCATGTTCTAAGAAACATATTAAATAATTAATTGTTATTACTTTGGCGCTTCTTTGTGAACCAGGTGTTCAGGAAGCTGTTTCAGATGGAAGCACATAATGAATTCCCTGGGGTCCCTCATGCCAGTAGCATGAGAAGAACCACAAACACTTGGACAGGGTTGAAGCTACCCAAATCCTGGCTCCAGCACAGCCAGCAAAGACCTCATGCACATATCAGAAGATGCTAGGATTTTATTTATTTTTCTTCATTCCCCATGAATATTTTGCAGTTTTCTAATTACTAATGTTTCTCTTCCACATACTGAAAATCTCAGCCACACCTGCTATTTCTAGGATATAAAAACCCATGAAGAGTCTGGAGTCACCAAGGAGGAGGGGAGGAAGGTGGTTTGTTTTGTTTCTTAAAGTTACTATTAGCAAAATTAACTCCTCTTTCCTCTTTTTGCAGATTCTCTTTCCCCCTCACTCCCAATACTGCCAATACTCCCAATATAATATATCAGGTGGGAGTTGTCATCTCTGGCAAACTCCATCTTGTGATCACTTCTGGATCTGCCTGCATGTGCTAGAATGTACCATAATCATGAGGCAGCCCAACAAACACCTGTTTGTTTGTTGATTAAATACACCAGAACCTCTATGAAATCCAGGCAGAGCTGCTGCTGAGTCTTGTTCTTACCTTCAGGTTTTTGGATGACCAGAGCCATAGAGCTAGTTGCTGACTTGAGGACACTCATGGCTGTGTACAGGGTTCACCTGAACCTGGAAAACACAAGTGTGGAGATATAAGGAGCTCTTGCCATTATATTCCTAGTAGCTGCATTTGCTACTCTGTCCTACAAAAGTTCACAATAAAAGACAGTCTTATCCAGATCCCCTTTCTCCCAAGAAGTGGGGAAAAAGGGGGTGGCTGAGCCATTTTTTTCTATATCAAACTGCTGAATTCAGTACAAAGGATTCATACCACCCTGGGACTTCTTTCAAAAACATGAAGAACTAAATGAACCAGTGCCCTGGCAAGAGTGGCACATGTTGAGTAGACACTCAACAGCAACACGGAAAGCCTGTGGGGTGTTTGGGAGGTTCAGGCAGCACAAAGGAGCACGAGGCCAGATGCTGTCCCCATCCCACAGAGGCTGTTTGGGCTGGCTGCACTCAAAATGTTAAAAAGGGCACACTGGCTTCCTGCCGTGCTCATAAACATGTCCATCAACTGCACCTTTGGGAAACGGGCTCTACTGAAACCATTCACTTGCTGAAAAACAAACTGCCATTCTTTACCTTCTGACCCTTCAGCAAAGCAGCTTTTCTCCACTCCAGAATGCAAAATCCCTTCACTACCTCTGCTACATGAGTGCTATCTACAATTCACCAGCCTAGTGAATTTTACAGCCCATTCATGCTCAGCTCTGAAGCTGGGAATGGCCCCGTAATGATGTGCAAATTTTCAACTGAAGCAGGATTATGCTAAAAACAAATGAATTAAGAGTCCATGAGGCTTGGTGTGACTACATTTTATTGAAAAACACCATACTGTGTGGGCAGAGAGCAAGACAGATGAGTTTAAAGTCCCTAGCTGCTATGGCAATTTTAATTCATTAGCACAGAGACATTCCAGACTACAGAACTCCTCAAGAGCACTGACCCTCTTCTCCACACACTGCCCACTCTCTCCGCTTAGTAAGCTGTATTTTTAGGAGCCCCCAGAGGATTTATTAGCTTCAATATATTGATTGCACTAAGTAATTTTTTTTTTCAGAAAATTTAGAGCAAGTTTTCTGCTTCTAGCACCAGCACAAGCCCTTTCACTGCTCCTTCCCCTGACACACACATCCCATGAGGGATGCCCAGTCCTGAGGCACAGGGGTGGTGGACACAGGAGGCCACCAACACACAGCAGGACACAACCAGCCTCCCTCAGCACCACAAGCAGACCTACCACTCTTACCTGAGCAAAAACAGCTCCAGGAGCTCCATGTTGCCTTGTCCTCACCTCAGAGCTGCACTGCGCAGGAAGGGGGAAGGGCCCTTGCAGCACAACTGGAGACTCAACACCCCGCACCTGGGGCATGTGGCTGGTGGCAACCAGCTGCCCCCCTGCCAATATATAAATACATACAGCAGCCACCTCAGTTAGCATAAGAGAAAAACAAGTCCACATATCTAGGATTTTTGAAGACAAAGTTCACAAAAATTCACAACATGCAGCTAACTTCTCAGCCAAGGAGGAATCATTTCAAACAGCTTCTTCGGAGCAAACACATGAATCTGAGTGCCTTGCAACTTCAATCATCAAAGGAGAGCAAACAACAGTAAGATTCTATAATTTATTACCATTGTTAAGATGAACACAGATACTTGATACCCAATTGTATGCAGAACTGTAAAAAAATAGCTTTAATACAGTATCAAAATTTACACAAGTGTAGTGTCAAAAGACCAGCGTCCCTCAAATTAGCCCCTGCACATACATTCTGCAGGCACAAGTACAAGTCTTACTTCTTTCATACATATATATATATAGGAATACAACAATTTAAGTTTAACTATGCAAACATGTATGGGAAAAAACAACATGTAAAGGTAACAGACAACTGTTTGGGCTGGGTAATATTTAAGAGCTTATGCAAGAGTGCAATGTTTCAAACTGGGAGGCAGGATTCTGCTTTTCCAACTCAAGGAGATGAGGTGAACAGGAATTTTGCCTGAGAAAGCAATGCTGGACCAGAAGCCTTATGTCAAATGGTACCAAGTAAAAATAACAACAGAAACCAATATAATTACAGCTGCAAATTAACACACTTTTTCTGAAGACAATTAGCAGCTTACATCATACACCTATATAACAAAAGGTTGTACAGTGACTGAGCTACACTCCACTGCAAATAGCCCACAAATACAGCATGTTGCAAGCTCAGAGGAAACAGAGATTCTGACTTTGGCCCAAATCTTAGCAACCAAGAACAAACCAGAAACCCAGGAATTGTTGCATTCCTATTTTTTTTTTTAAACTTTTATTAGTCTTTTTGATGCTCAGCTATGGTAAAAAGTTAAGCAACAGCATTCTATCACAAGTCTGTTGCACATTCATACATGAAATTATCATTGCTTTTAGATATACACAAAATACCTATCATCGCAGTTCAATACACACAAATAGTATCAGACAGATAGATAAAAATAAACTAAGCACATCTAGGGTGCTGTCTGGTCAAATCTGAGGCGATCTGAAGAAGAGCTTTCTGCCTCCTAGTATTGAAAGACATGCTCCAAGTATAATAAAACCTTTTTCTTTGAAAGAACGCTACAGTAGCGAGAAAAGCTTTTTTATAATGCAGTGCAATCTTTTAGATCCTTATAGGCTTTTGTTAAATAAACCAGCATGTCTCAAAATTAAACAGTAGAAAGCAGCATCCTTACAACTGGAAAATACTTTCCAAAAACAACTGATGGAAATTCTGATTGGAGACCTGTAATAGTAATACCTAAGTAGCTTGTTCATTAAAGGGCTGCAGACATCATACACATCTTCAGAAGATGTGCATCCAAGTGAATGGAAAAGAAAGCTAGCTTTACTTTCATTTAGAAAGAAATTGTGTTTCACTACAAGTACTGTAGTTATGCTACACTACCGGCTGGTTAGGAGACTTCATGGTCTTTAGCACCTCCAAAGACAGATATTCTACCAAAGCAAAAAAATAATCTGGAAATTGCCTAAGCACCTTTAACCAGTATTTTACAGACTGAAGTGTGAGTAACCTAGAAGTGACCTTCTCAAAACCACGGAGACCAAAGGCACAGTTTATCAATGTCTCTCCCATCTGGTGAAAAACTTCAGTTAAATCCAGTGGAAAATTCATTCAGACTTACTAGAGATTCACTGTAACTAAGCAAAATAAAACTTATTTCATGTAACTGCTGCAGAACTCTAATTATATTTTAGTAAGGATGGCAATACCTCAGTCCTAAGTGTGATTTGTTGAAGTGACAACGCAGCAGCAGCATTTCACTAGCCAGGATACTGAAACAGCAGAACTGGGGAACACTGCCCACATGGCTCCTCTGAAAGACCTCTGTGCAGAATCTCCACCAGTTCCAACCAAGTCTTACATAGTGCATACAGACACCCCGTCGTCAGCTGGGAAGTCGCTGTGGACACAGTCAGTTCTTTCTCCATCACTGGCAGTTCAAACACTTTCTCTTCTGAGAGGACTTGCTCAGGGCCTTTTACATAGGTCCTTTGTACTGATTTCCTGACAAATGTTGTCTAATTCCAGGGCATGACCCTGCAGCATCTCCAAGTTTCCTCCACACAACCTAAAGGGAAGGATGGAAAGAAATCTCATTATCACCAGCTAAGATGTACTGGAGTTCATACAGACATGCACTTGGAAAGGCCACACGTTCAATAAGCAGAGCATGCACCACAGGTAAGGACAGAGGGGACACACATCAGGAGAAGAGACTGTTTCTCAAGGGATACAACATTCCTTCTGAACACAAAAAGCACATGCTTCTAGGTAAAAATGATTAAAAACAGAGACAAATGAAATAGCACGTGCATCACTAGGATATTCTGTGTTTCAGATACAAGACTGGGACATTTACAGGCCTCAACCAAAACTTTCTTCAGCTATTTCCCCAAACCTAATCTCTTGCAGAGCACAAAGCTCAGTCCACGGGAATCTAAACATTGCTAGTTTAAAAAGCACAGAGCAGCTCTGCCCTTTTTCAAATTATTTACTTGTTCTCTTAAAAGCAAGCAAGGCATTAAAAGTGTTTGTTTTATTTCATTTGTTCTTCCTTGAGATCAGAGGAATTGTGCATGTCACTGTTCTATCCATGCTTGTGTGCTTTGTTGAATCAGAGCAAAATCTAGAATTTAGCAGAAATTAGCAATTAGTTCCTTAGTGTGGACTATTATACATTATAAAGGTTTCTTTCCTCATACTCACATCTACTCCCACTCATGATTGCATAACATCCATGTTACAATTATGGAATTAAAAATTCAGAGACATTATAAACAATATTTAGGGAAGTATTTTATAATTATTTATACAAAGATTGACCGAGTATAAACAGGAGAATCAGTAGCTTGTGTCATATCACTAGGCTTCTCTTCCAAGGGCCCTTAGAAGCAAGAGTGGTGATTGACGATTATTTCTGTTTAATAATAATCAATCAGCTAAAGTATAACTGCTGCTAAGCCACCCATTAAATCTCTAGAACAACAGCAATATGACAAAGGCAAAAAACTCTTTTCTTTCGTCATTAGTTATAATTTGTATTTTAACAGGCCCTAAAACCCAGGAATGAACAGAGATTGCATCAGCTGGACCTGGATAAACACAAAGCAGCTGGATCCTGGGAAGTCCACATCCTGAAGAGACAACACCTGGCCCAGATCCTACAGCTGATGAGCAAAGGCAGAATGACCCCAAGGTCCTTCCATCCTTCTGTGCAAGAGATGAGAAAATAACCCAGTTCCTTTGAGCCTTTGCTTAAGAAAACCTGAGTATAAGCATGAAAAACAGAAATACTTCAAGACTGGAAGCAACAAGACTACAGTCTAACTGCACAGGCTCAAACAAATTAAAGTTCTTTGAAGGGAACTGTCTTTAATACTAATTGGGTGGATATGACTCAAACCCTGCAAACTTTCCATATGAAGAAGAATGTGAAATCAGAAGGAAACCAGGTGGAATGAAGTTACAGACATAAAAAATACATGTTTTTTAGCTAAGGTCGCTGTATTGTCAAACACTGTGCCATGGTGAAAGCATAAAAAATGGGTTTTCAGTGAAATCTCCTGAATCCACTATCTATGGCAGAGTCATTGGAAATGGCAGAGGGCTGGATTCGATGAAACAAGCATTTCTTTCCAGTGTTTGATTGCCAATTTTCCTAATTTAGTATTATGAAAAAGAACAGCCTCTTGGATAGCTTTTGTAAGAAGGCACATTGTACCTATATATGCCTTTCAACAATTTTTCTGGTCAATAAACATTAGACAATATTTACTGAGCAGCTAATGCTGACACAATAATAAACTAAAAGGTGACACTTCAAAGTCCTTTATTTCTAGCTGAACAAATGACCCCTGATTTCTAGGAAGGCACAAAGGCACACAAGACAGCCCTGGGAAGCTAACATCCTAACCAGAATTGGCAAGGTGGGATCACAAGGAATAGTCTCCTGCCATTTTTATGGGTGGGAAATGGAGAAATTCTTCTGAGCAACTATTTTTGCTTGTGCATACAGTGTAAGATACCTGGGTCTCCAAGACATCACAGTCATTTTATTTTGCCTCCTTTTCACACACATGGGATGACATATCTAAGTTTATCAGATTTATCATCCAACTCTCCTTCTGTGCTGGCAGTTCTTTGCACACTCATACCAGCTGTACACATCACTGTGTTCTGCACATGTATTTGGCCCTCTGCACTGAATGGGCATTTTGGATTTGCATGTAGGGTTGTTTTCTTTTCAGTTCACTAGTTCAACACAAACTTGTCATAAGCAGCACTAATGAAATTACTTTCCATTCACAAGCACCCAAGAGTAAATGTAATACTTGTGCATTCCTGAATGTGTTTTAAATAGTTATGATGGAGTAAAAAGCCCAGTACCAAAAACTCCACACAAAATCTCAGCAGAAACCTTGACTGAACAAAGGACAGCTATGAGGTTCATGATACAGTCATGGCAATTTATTTCTAGCTTACCTCTAGCACACCGGAATCTCCCTGGAAGCCAGGCTGAAACCTGCAGCCTAACTGCAGGTGGCAGCAGCTACATCACCTGCCAGCTGTGGAAGCATTCGAGGCCCATAGTGCTTCATGTACAGCATGAAATACTCTTGGGGAGATCTTTGGGCTCCCTGACCCCACCGATCCCATATGGTGTATCCCATCTCCCCTTTAGCTTCCAGCCCAAGTGGGTGTGCTACAGCCCTGTGAACAAAACTTATTGGCAGCCGGAGGAAAATAATGACAAACAAACCTCCAGTCTTAACCCAAACATTCCTGTCCTTTGATGCTACCTCCATGCTCACTAGCACAAGATACACTACCTCTAACCCTGCTGTTATGTATTGCAATGTTCTCCTAAGCACATAAATGCAAAGCAAAAACATGCTCGAATATGTTGTTGATGAAGTGGTACTAATACCATATGCACGTCCTGAGGAGAGAATTCCCACCGCCATTATCTTGGTAAAATATCAACTTGATCATACAACACCATAAGGTTCATAAAACATGAGCTATACATACAAATCGCATTTCAGTACCAAGGAAGACTATGCACTAAAATTATAGAGCTCAAAATGGAACTTGTCATCATTCCACTGTTTTCACATGCAAAATAATGCTGTAGCAAATGCTTCACGTAAAACGCCCACAGCACATAAAGCTGCAGTAAAACAGTGGATTACAAACTGGAAGGAACTGCAATGAGAATGCAAAAGAAAAGAAACATTATCATTAGTTTATCACAAACCCACTGTACTTGTAACATGGACTAGATGAATATAAGAAAAAGTATAACCAGAATGGAAATAACCAATCATTTGAAAAAGGATAATACATCAGCAGCCAAATCAGACAGAGAACATAAGAGTCAGAAGAAAAGGCAGCATTTCAGTGACAGAAACAGAACTTGAAATGGCTGGGAACCAAGAGACAAGGCAGAATACAAGTATTTATTTGGATTTACAACAATGAATTGATAACAACAAATTTAGTTTATTAGCATTTTAGAAGCAGCATTACTTAAATCATGAGAACTTTATGGATTGCTATTGCACATGTATTATTTAGAAATGGATTTTTTTTATCCATGAATTGCAAAGCAATAGCATAGGGAAGGCATTGTACTGATGGGGAAACTGGGGCTGCCCAGCTTCATAATACTTGTCAAATTTTATTCTATTGAAGGATAAATTCAAGTCAGCTGAGTCACACAGTACTTTAACCCATATACATAATATCACATAAAGATTCTTCTGATCAATACTGATCAACATGTTAACATTTTAGTGTTCCTAATAAAACAGAAACTGCAGTCAAGAAACAGTAACTGACTTAATTTCCATATAAAAATTTCAAGGGCATATTGTCAGCTTCAAAACAGAAAACACTTTGCAAGTTCAGGTGTTTCCAGGCTCTATATGGAATATAAAATAAACACCTTAAACTTACAATGCACATTTCTCCAGTCACAGCTTTTTCTGTCTCACTAAGGTAGTCTTTTTCAGCCTGCTGCTTTATATTTTCCTAAGCTTCTAAGACAAGGTTATGTTAAAAAAAAAAAAAAAAAAAAGGAAACTTTAAGAAAAAAGGGTATGTTAAAAAAAGGGAAATGTTATTTTTCAAATTTGTTTGAAGTGCCACAAAAACCAAGCAATAATATATTTAAGCTTTCATGGATCCTTTCTGAGTGTGGGCATACATATATAACTGACCAATTCCATTTAAAGGTAATTAGACTGATTACAGTGCTCTGGGTTTCAGGGCAGGTGGACGGATCATTAAATCTTCTTGCCTGACCTCCTGGGTACCACAGAACACTAACTCTTCTGCAGCAGTTCCTTCATGTAGCCTCAGGCTTTGTCTTCAATCAAAGCATACCTCACTTCAATTTGTAGAGAGCAGAGTGGAAAATCCAGCAGGTGACACTGAGCTCAGGAAAGGAAAACCCAATGCAGGTTTCACGTGTGTAAGCCTATGGTTATTTGGGCAGTCTGGCAAGCCAAACATCATCATTCTGAAAATATAAACCTGGGTCTGAAAAGCCAACTATTGTGGAATATGCACGTCTCTGTGCACAAGCATGGAGTTTGGTCACATACAACTTGCAAAATAAACAAACACATCCCGCCATAGAAAATAACTACTTATATATCCAGAGTGACACCACTTGCACATAGGGAATAATCCTGTAAGAACTGGCAGGGTGGGGAAGATTGCCAAGGCCTAGGCATGGGGACACACATGGCAATTTCTTCTTTCAACCACCTGGCAGGATGGATAATGTCATGGAAGAGCCTTTATTTGGCCAGCTGCACAGCAAAGCTCTTCTCTCTTTTTCACTACCATCTCCAGTGGTGGGAGATTCACAGGCAATCCACTGAAGTTCTGTATTTCTTTTTTGCAGGAACTTCAGATAACCAAATTTGTAAAGAAAAGCAGTCTCTTGATGTAGAATTCTTCTTCCTCCTGCATCGGATTCAGCTAAGTGATGCAGGTGGGAGACCCCCAGAAAGGCAGGATCAAACCTGCATGCTTTGCCCATGGAAACAGCAGTGTCTCCTCCCTCACTGGGGATAGCTGGGCAGCCTGTGTAGCTGACAGCTCACTTTCCATTTCAAATGTAACAGTATAATTTATATCTCTTTCTGTCTGCTGCAACACCTCCTAGCAAACTAAAAGCTGAGCTTTCATATCATATTGTGCTCAAGTCTGTGTATTTCTTATCAATCCATTTCAGCAACCAAGGTATCAGCCATTGTTCAAATATTTCATCTCCACCAACCAGCTATTACAGGTTGTCAAAAGCATGCTGGTAAATATTCCATTCAGGCAAGTGTCTTTTTTTGATAATTATGCATGATATCTTGACAAAATCACTTGGCATAGGTTTATTTTCTAGGCAGCAGCAGGTGCAATATATGGAAGATGCACGCAGGACATTGAGCACTGCTGAAGTGAGCACTCCTCAGTAGCTGGGAGTGGTGGTTCATCACACCTCTGCTGGACAAGGGTGAGACCTGCACGCTCCTAGGTAGAGTGCTGCCCTTGGGGACATGGTCAAGGTGGCCATCACAGAGGGGGCTTGCAGTTGAGTGCTTGTGGAGAGGGGCTCAAGCCCTCTGCTACTGCTTTCCCCTGGTTGGAAGCCAGAAAAACATGCAAAGTGGCTGCAGTGAAGCCCTGCGCCTGGGTGTTCTGTTACAGGAAGGGATCTGATTGCTCCAATTTGTGCACAGGTCACTTGCACAGAACTGTTTCCTCGGGCTTCACAGACAAGTAGCCAATGTCACCCAGACATATGGAAGACAATCGCTCTGCCCATGAACTCATATGACCAGGCAAATCAACAGCACTGCTAGGCTCTTCCTGTGCATCTCTAGGAAGCTCAAAAAGAGAGCAAATGTCTATAAAAGTCCTTTGCAGTTGGCCCCTGAAGGAGTGCAAACCCACCCCTTCCAAGTAACCAGTGTCCCCACAATGTCTGTATCAATTGGGAATGACACCCACTTAACTAAAGAATATTAAAGCAGTTTAGCTTATGAGTGAAGTACAGGAAATAGACAACCAGAAAACAAACATGACAGAGCCAGAGTAAAGAGACATGAATACAAAGTCCACAGTCTCTCCATGAGTTTTTAATCTTCTCCCGAGGAGCATGGACACAGCTGATGCCCATGCTGCCATGGGACAGTGAACTCCACCAGTTGTTGACACTAATCACCTGCTAAACCATTGCATCTTGTAACAGCTTTCTAAATGTCATTAATCACAACAGTTTCCCTGTTGACACAGGTAAGAACTTGCAGATATGCCCCTCTGGTTGCTAGTGTCAATTGCTGCTTATCAGTGCAACACAGCCATTTGCAATCCAACCCTGACTTCAGAGTAAATCACATCTGCTCTCACTGAAGTTCCAACACTGACCTTGGGATTACGATGCATTGTCTTCAGCCCCAAGTTCAGCTGGTTTTATTATGAATATACCATGCACATTGGCTTTATCTTTGCATTAAAGTACTTCTCTCTGCATGGGTTATAGGAAGCCTTTATATTCCACTTGAGAACAAATATGTATCCTAGATGAAGCAGAAAGGCCTCCTTATTCAGAAAAAAACAGTTTTCAGCTTCAAAGAAAAATTGTACAAGGGTAAGAAATCTGGAGAGAAGCTACAGCTGGAATCACCCCTGTTGCAAGGGCCAAGGAACACACAGTCTACAGATGCAATGAGTGACAAACAGAAAAACAATCTCACTCATGACAGTAACATCCCAGTGGTGTCCACAGGAATGTTGCCAGGACAATACGACACGTGTTGAGTAACAGACACAACGTTTTGCATGGACTGTACCGGAGGAGTGTTACCTTCAGAGCATTTACCACTGAGTCAGACTGCTGAGAGGCTGAGCCATGTCCACTGATGCTAGTTGGCTCGTTTGCAGAGCAGTAACTCCTCCCCTCCGCCCCTCCTGGCATCCTACTGGTTTCCTTCGCAAAAAATTAAAAACTATTTAATAAAGAAAAGGGTTGGTAACTAATTAAAACAGATGTCAATTTGTCTTTTTTTTTTTCTTTTTTTTTATTTCTTTTTTTAAAGCTGAGAAGCACTGAAGGCATGTTTCACTCCAAGGTGCCCCTCTTCCTGCGCCACAGTAACCAGGATCCATATGAGGTAGCTCAAATGCTACTGCTGAGTGTCATCCCAACACTGTGGGTCTTGAGGGTGCCTTTCTGGAAAATCAGGATGTCGTAATAACATTTTTAATGGATGTATGTTGTCTCACAAACATCCTGCAAGGTTCAGTCCAGAGGAAGGTTTTGAGATAAACTAATTTTATCCCAATAATTCTGAAAGTTGTTCCTTCACCAAAATTTGCATTTTTAAACATTGCTGCAAGGTTTTGCAAGCTCAGCTGCAGCCAACCAGGGAAGGGGTAGGGAGCTCCAGGCTGCCAGCTCAGTCCTTCCTTGCCTCTGGTTGCCTTGGTGCAAGGGCACATCCCCCCCGCTCGCCAACAGTAACAACCTCAAGGGCTTTTTCCTCCCAGTGAACACCTGAAAGGGTTCTGCAGGACACTGCAAAACAAATGCAAGTTACCTAAACTCTTACAGTTCAGTCACCTCAAACTTTGCAGGCTGTAAAGCACCTCCTGGAGTGACTGCAGAGCTGAAGTAACCTTAGCGAGCAGTCAGCTTCAGAGAAGTGCTAAAAATACCCCTGCTGCATCCACAGACAGCAATGTGATAGCTGCACCGACAGAGGTGGCCTGAGTAGATGCTTCCGAGGTGCTTTTGACCTGACCTGCTCTTCTCTGCCATTCTTCATGCAGAATTTTGTTTGTTGGTTGTTTGTTTTTTTTTAAAAAAAAAAGAGAGAGAAATATAAAGAAGAAAAACATTGCAAAGAGTGAGAGAGAAGTTTCTTTCTCACAGAGTAAGAAACACTGTAGGAAACATAAAGAAATAATGTAGCAGTAATTCCTAATGGAATGTGTGGGAAATGCATTTCTGAGGGAAAAATCATGACAGTGGAAAGGGCCTCTAATCAGAATCAGTGCCCCAATGTACACTGATTTGCCCCGTTGAGAAAACACATGGCACGGTGCAGTCTTTTTGGAGGTGTCTATAATCTAAACAATAGGAAAGATGACAGTGTGGGAGGAAAAGGGCACAGAGAGATGACAGGAGGCTGAACTTCACAGAACCAGTCTGCCTGAAAATGTTTAATTGACAAGTATCCCACCCTAAAGCAAGTTTATACACTGTTCATGACTTGATCAGAATGTGCCCAGACCTTTGTAACTAGTGCTTCACAGCTCATGGCAGCTCTGGGGGGACACGTGTCAGAGAGGACCCTCACAGCTACTGAACAGGTGAGATTCAGCTCAGCACTCACCTGCATCCTGACTGCAGGACTGAACCTCACATACTAAAAAAAACACACCCTAAACCAAACGAAACCAACAACAACAAAAAAGAGAATGCTGCTTATGCTAAGCCCTCAGAAAAGGTACCTCGAGTCTAAATATCAAACCCCATTTGCTGCATGAACTCTTTCCAGTGCCACCCTCCTGCCAAGCCATGGGCTTTACCTTTCTTTAGGAAGGATTTACAGATCTGTTAGTGACTGGGCAGACTTAATGCTGTACTTTGGGAGAGGAAATGTAAGAGGAAGGAAACAGAGTAATAAAGCAGATTGGAGCAATTCTGGTTTAGGGTAAATTCCCTCAGTCATCTTTGGGTTTTTTATAAGTCAAAGTATTCTGTTTCTTTACTTACTCCAGGGCCAGCAAAGATTTTGGTCAGTTTCAAATGCTTACAAATAAGTATTGCTATTAGAAGGCTGGGAAAATGAGTACAGATTGTATATGTAAAGCCTCCTGAATATGATGTAGGGATGATGGTTGGACTCGGTGATCTCAAGGGTCTTTTCCAACCTGAACAGTTCTGATTCTATGATTCTCTGAGAAAATCCAAAAGTCCTGTAAATTGTCCGAGTTCAGGCCCCCCTCCAGGCATCTGTCTACAGTCTCTTCTGTGTCATACACAGTGCATTTCTCTCTGCCCTCATGAGAATGAAAAACTTGATGAGAAAACACTACTTTAAGCAAACAGCATTCTCAACACATGTTGGAAAATTATTTCCCCTGTGAGCATCCTCCTCCCTCTGTCTCTCATAAGAGACATAAACTTTTCTTAAAAAATAAGGCAGGTTTTGCAGGCCTGGTGGCCCATCCTCCACCTCAGGGACTTCTCATGACAGGGGAGGCAACCCCACAAGGGCAGTGCAACTGATGCCTTATTTGGAGGAAACTTATTCCAGCAAATGATGGGGAGGGGACCAGCCTGAATGCAGGTCTCCTGTTTCTCAGCAAGTCTTGTGAGCTTGTAGGCATTTGAGCACTACTGACTACATGACAAATTTCTGAGGCAGTGAAGCAAAACAAGAGGAAAAGGCACTTTGCCAAAGTGGCTGTGTCTGAAAACAAGGTGCCTGAGAAGACTAGGAAAGCTTTTCAGACCTACTGTCACCGCTGCTGCATGCCACTGGGGAGCATGGCAATGTTTCTCCTTCCACCAGGACTTGACCTGAATTTCCCTGAGCTCAGTCCCTTCCCTGCCACTGCCCAACCCAGACTGCAACTGGATCCTGAGAAGGACCTTGAGGATGGGAGTTCTGTTCCCTTTCTCCTCTTCTCTAGCTCCACCCACAGCATTTGCATTCAGCCACTTAAAGCAGGCATCCCATGTGTTCACATGTTTTGGACAGATCTTTTAAGTTATTATCCTGTAACAAAGCTGTGGAAATGGAACCAAATCAGACAGAAGGGATGACGTCATGGCTCCATAGTGCTGAAATCTGTACTAACTTTAAACATCTTGAGCAGTTTTGAATAAACAGTGCTGCACAACATCAACGTCTGAGAAATAATTCACTTTATTGCTTATCCTATATGGCCAACCTTTCCTATTGCCCCTGTCCAGCCCCTGTGCCCAAACTACAGCATGGGTTGCACGCTGTCGTGTACTCTGTGTGGATTAGACTGCTCCAAAAAGCACATTATCTGAAGCAGGTAAAACCCACATAGTAAGACTTCGTGCATATCGCCACAATGATAAGAGAGTGCAATCACTAAACGTGTGGATCCGTTTTCTGTTGGGAGTCAATCTACAAAATAGCTAATGCCAAGAGGCGACTAGTGAATGGAGAGTACAGGAAATCTGACTCAACCCCATAATAGCACCTAACAAAAAATTAGCTGAATGGAAATTCAGCATCTCCCTCACATTGACTGCCAAATGTAAAGGATACTCAGGCCATTCTGTACTGCCAGAGGCAAACCCTGTGCTGTACCCTGGTCAGGGTCAGAAGAAAGCCCCCTGTGTAGAACCCTTTGATGGAGTGAACTAATCATGAGCCTTGCTACTTCAGCCAGTAGAAAACATCATTCTTTCAATCCACAGTGCTGATAAGGCCAGTCATGAATGAAAAGCAGTGTAGTGCAAAGCACACTACACAGCTCAAGCCAGCAGCAGTCGATCTGCCAGCCCCTTGGGCCGAACCACGCATGCTGTTCACTGCCTGACTCAACCTCCCCATGGCCTGCAAGGATAGCTGAGCAGGAAAAAACATAGCCCAGCTCTGCCCCAAGGACACTTGCAGTCTCCTCACCAAAGCTTCTGAGAGAACATGATTTTCCTGTCCACGGGGCACTGCTCTGTTCACTTACCATCGGAGACCTACCGCAACACACACACAAGACCTTGTCCTCCAGCTGCCTTTTCTCCCAGAGGCAAGTGGTTTGCTGGGAAGTATTATCCTTCCTGTGGGGTAACTGCTATGCCAGTTCAATCACTACCTGATTTCCAAAGATCTTTTCTGATTTCCCCAGCCCTCAATTTCCCTGTTAGCTCAAAGCAAACCCAGGCTGTGTTTGTCAGCTTCTTTCAAACAGGCAGGAGAAAGGAGAAACAGAAAGCAATAAGCTGCAGTATGTTGCTGTGCTGGATTAATAACATGCTACACAAAAGAGTATCAATTTTTTTAGGGGATGTTCCTGTCAATTGTAAGAAAATAATAATCTGGCTTTCTCTCTGTACTGCAATTCTTTTTGTACACCACATTTTTCCTGAATTTGTATCTTGGAAACATCAAGCCTGTAAGCTCTTGCCATGCAGCCTGCCCTGGTCAACCAAGATGGAAGCACTGTGCTTAGGACACCCTGAGACAAAGATTTTGCCCACAACCTCAGCTGCTGTAAAATGAAGTTGCTCCATTAATGACCTGTTAATTTAAACTGAGGATGAGAGCATATGAAAAAACAGGGTGGATATATGCTGTTGACTTACTTCCAGCAAATATTTGATTACATGATTAGGTAAACCCATTGTTCAATGGGTTGTAATTACATTTTGCTTGAAGGATTCCCTATTCTACACACTATGGAAGGGAGGAGACAAACATTATTGGACTGTGAGTGACAGAGATTTTACAAAAAAAAAAAATACTAACAAAACAGTTCCCAACTTCTAAATAGATTATAACTAAACCCATGCCATGCAGAGGGAAAATAAAAAACACAGATCTCAGCAAAAAGGTTTTTGAAAGATTTGGAAATGGATTGAAATAAAATGTGACAATCTAACAGAAGGGGGAAGAGAGAAAAGGAAAGTGTTGGAAGCACTTAAAAAATAAGCTAATGTATGCCTAAGGGTCATGCCTGCCCTTTCACACTTACACATAGCAGGACTGGAAAAGGCTAGCAAGGATGCAAAAACCAAAAAAAAACAACACCTAAAGCAACAGTGGAAATGAAAGAGCTATAAGAAAAAGAGATGGAAAAGGACCAGAAGACTTGTAATGAAAGAATGAGGAGACGGAAGTAGAAAAGTTCATGTGAGAGGTTGCAAAAGGGCTCCAGCTCAGCACTTGCCTCACAGCTTTACTGCTGCACACTGTGGACATGGGGAGCTCAGCTCTCTGCATCCCGCCTCTGGTCCCACTGACCCTCACAGTTTGCTCACTCAGGAAGCACTGTCCTGCCAATTACTTCCTTTCCCTTCCATTGAAAGGTAAAACTTAATTACAAGGACAAAGAGTTAGAAGGGGAAAATGTCAGACAATTCTCCATCTCTGCCTCTTGCTCCATCCTCCCATGAAACAAATATGAACTGAAGCAATTTAAACTGGGTGACTTGCCAAGAATATCTTTTGCAAATGCATACACTGTCATTACATGACAGATGTCCAGATTTCTGTTACATTTCAGCCCTGAAATAATACCTCTATGAAAATTCAGGGATATCTTCAGTAAATTGACATGTGGATGCCAGATCCTGATCTCACTTCCCCTAGCATAAAACATGGATAGCAGTTACACACCACATCAAGTCTGGGAGGACCTGCTGGTTTCAGTTAGCTGAAGTTATGTACTGACATGACAGATCTGTCATAGCCCAGGAAGCTGTAACTGGGATCTGAATCCATTGTTTGGTCCCTACATATTTTCTTAATTGTTGAGTATCTTTGTTACAGTATGAACAGACATGGTCACAGAATCACACAATGTTAGAGTTTGGACGGGATCTCTGGAGATCATCAAGTCCAACTCCCCTGCCAGAGAAGGACCACCTAAGGCAGGTCTCTCAGAAACGCATCCAGATGGGTCTTGAAAGTCTCCACTGAAGGAGACCCCACAACCTACCTGCACAGCCTATTCCAGTGCTCTGTAACCCTTGCAGTAAAGAAGCTCTTCCTCATGTTGAGGTAAAACTTTGTGTGTTCTAGTTTGCATCCATTGCTCCTCATGCTATCACAGGGCACCACTGAAAACAAAAAGGGCCCCTCCTTCTTCACATCCACCCTTCAGATACTTATATACATTCATAAGATCCCTCTCAGTCTTACCTCTTCTCTAGACTCAACAGACCCGGGTCTTTCAGTCTTCCCTCCTAAGGCAGGTATTCCAGTCCCTTAATCATCCTCGTAGCCCTCCACTGGACTCTCTCAATTAAATCCCTATCCCTCTTGAACTGGGGACCCCAGAACTGGACACAATACTCCAGATGTGGTCTCTCTAGGGCAGAGTAGAGGGGAGGACAACCTCCCTCAATATGCTGAACAAACTCTTCTTAATGCACCCCAGGATACCATTGGCCTTCTTGGACACAAGAGCACATTGCTATCCCACAGACAACTTGTTGTTCATCAGGACTCCAAGGTCCTTCTCCACGAAGCTGCTTTCTAGCAGGTCAGCTCCTAATCTGTACTGGTGCATGTTGCTATTCCTTCCCAGGTGCAGGACTCTATGCCTGTTCTTGTTGAACCTCATTAGGTTCTTCTTTGCCCAGCTCTCCAGTCTTCCCAAATCTTGCTGAATGGCCACGCACACAGCTTTCTGGTGAATCGGCCAATCGTCCCAGTAAGTCCCAGTGAGAGCACTGGCCATGCTCTCATGTTTGGATTAGTTTTTTTATGTTAGTGACAAAACTCAATCCACAGTGATGCTGTAGCTCCATGTACATTTTGAGACAGCAAAAGGCAGTGGCACTGCCAGAACCTATGTGCTGCAGAGAGCTTTCCTGCCCCATAGGACAACTACTCTGGACTGAAATCTATCCAGCAAAACAGCAGTATTCTTGCTCAAATGCTTTTGCCTCTATGCACTGCTGTCACATACCCCTACCTACATGACTGTTTGAGAAGCACCAGGGCAAGCTGCCCACTCCTTGTTCTCGGGCACAGCCAGCAGAGTTTGGCATTCTCAACAGAAAACTCAGCTGCATACCATAAATCTTGGAAAGTATCTGCCTTCTTACACAAAAATCCTATATATGGCCAGAAAACAAAAGGGTCCGGATCATATCTCGTTACATGCTATCTGAGAGAAGGAAAAAAAGATCAACAAAAAAACCCAACAAACTCAAACAGTTTATTACAGCTTTCACCAATGCAGCAAACCTACAACCTAGCTAGGGCTTCTCATAACTCTTAAACCTACTGCTATGCTATAAACCACCACCAGAAAAACTGTGCAGCTCAGGAAGAGATATTAAAGGGATTAAGTGAATATGCACATTTTTATGCCTTTTCTGTTACCTGATCAAACTAAAATATTGACTCAGTGGAGGTACTGCATTTCCCCTGGCAAAAAAAGCCCTTCAGTACAGCAGAGTGAACTAAAACTCAGACTCCAATTGAACAGTGATGGCAGCACTTAAAACCATTTTCTCTGGAAATGTTCTTGCCACTAAATATTAATAAAACCTTTACATTAGAGGTCTTTGGGGTTTTGAAAAGAAAACTAATATGTATGGAGGGAGACAAGCAAAGCAAAATAAATTGGAAAAGAACCACACCTAAGTGGTGAATGAAATGAGTGATTTCTCTGAAAAGAGTGACAACAAATGTGTCACTGCATTTTCATCAGTGACACGTAAGCAGGAAAGGGGAAAAAGAAAGGATATTGAAAGAGAGGAAAAAGAAGCATAGCAGGAGGAGAGAGAGAGCCTCAGAAAGCAAAGCGAAGACTCTCACTCACGAGTGCAAGTCATCCCCTCTTTCACACTAAGTGCACCCCTGCAGCTCCCAAACCCTCCAAGGACGCCAGGACACCCTCAGAGAGGTTCTATGCAAAAAGCAAAAGGCACTAGTGAAATTTTAAAGCACCACACTGTAACTGAGTAAAAGCTGTGCCAGAAACTTTCATCAGTTGTGGAGCTCATCGTATATTTTCAGCTGATTTGTCAAAAGCACTCAGTTTGGCTTCATGCCCACAAACTCCCATTCCTCCCATTAAATGGAATCGAACCAGTGCCAGGAGCTTATGCATTTCCATCAGGCGTCCTTGCCTCTGTGACAGGGCCTGATCACTGCGGATAGCACGCTCAGGGTGTTACTCACAGGAAGAACAAACCTCCAATATGAACTTATGCAAATGTAATGCCGAGGCAATCAAATGCAATGCTGAGGTAATTAAATGCAAAGTCAAAATAAGCTTGGTGTCCACATTTCCTTCCTCTTTCCAAAGCAAGGACTTCCTTCAGGAGTAAAGGTAAGATATGCCAGGAAACATAAACCCTTGTCAGTCATTATAATCAAGTATCCAGAGATATTAGGAGAATTTTCAGAACTCTACTACAGATCCTTGTGCCAACAAAATCAAACATAAGGCAAACTTTGACCCATGTGTTTAAAAACAGAAAGCCATTTGCAGGCTAGTTCTTCCCTTTCAAAATCCTGCAAGCATATTTCATTTATGTTACTTTTGTAACAGCTACAGGCTTAGATGCTATTTTCACAAGCACTATTTTCTAGTTCTGGCACCCATCTAAGATATTTTCAATTAACTCAACACCCACAATGTGGATGTTCTAGTCTTTGGCAAGACATGGTAATGCATTTCATGGGTCACCACCTGAGTGCCTCAAACCCCAGACAAATAAAACATATGGTCATTTCTAAAGATTTTGCCCACAAAGAATGTTATGCACAAGTTATCCCCCAGTGTTGTTCCAGACCCAGGACAAACCACAACCCTATTTTTCAGGCATATGTGTTAACATTTGCCCTGAACACCACTCTTGACAAGAAAATAGCATTCTTTATCACTCAAGAAGAACATTTGTCTTTCCTATTGAAGACTAAATACATGCTAATGGATGGACATTTAACCATTCTTGCTGTCCTTCTTTTTCAGAACAAATCAGGGTACCTACAAGTCACCTTGCAAGTCAACAGCTAAAAAAATGCTACAGAGGCCCTTCCAACTGTCATATTAAGGGTGAGGAAAAATACCCACCACACCTTACTTAAAATTTGCCTTAAGAAAGGAAATTGCTAACTTGGGACTGAGATCTTCTAGCTAATCTTGCTTATACAAATGAATAAATCAGAGCCAGTGGATTTTACTTCTTACTACATTTCACTGCTGTCTTGGATTTTACAATCATATAACAGTTCTACGTTCAATAAAAAGCATTTTTTTTCTTCAGACCAGTGCTTTCATTTAAACTACTGTTTGACTTAAATGAAATACAACTCCTTTTTTCTCCCAGTGGGCAACTTCATTTGGAGACTTTGTGGATTTTCCTAGGGATTACTCAACAAAATATAAAAGAAATACACACTGGTTTGTATGTGTATATATAAAAATATAATTGTCTTTGATTGATTCCTAATGAACTTCAAAATCTTTTGTTCTTAAAAACATATTAGGTAAACCTTCAACTTCATATTTGCTTATGCACTCAATTTAATTTCAGTCTCGCATTTACTTAACTAATATGCCAAATATTAAAAATAACCCAAGTCAATTATTTTTACTGAAAGCAACTGCATTTTTAAAGCACAAGGTTTCAGTTAGCTATAAAAAGTACTTAATATCTTAATAACAAGGAGCTCTTAGAATAAAACCAGAATATAAAGGGTCAGTTCACTGCAATTTTCAATGCTTAAATTAATTAATCATAATTAGTAGCTTCCAGTGAATTTTTATTAGCAAGGTATCAACACCTGCAAGGGAGAAAAATTAATGACAGCATTGTCATAGCCTTAAATAAATTCCCCACTCAATCACAAGAAAGACAAACAAACAGATGTGAATGCCTTTGATTATCCGAACAATCAGCCTGAGTGTTCAAAAGCAGTAATGTCACATGACAAATAAACCTGGTTTTATCTCATGCCCGAAGACTCGAGCGTTGCTGTCTAGCTGCCAGCTACTGTTCCCACCAACAGAAGTCACCCACCTGGGGCAGCATGCGATTTTCCTCCTCCAGCTGTCTTACTCTTGCCTCCAGCTGCCTAACATAGGACAAGGTTGATTCTAAAAATCAAAAAGAAAAAAAGAACTCATATTATCCACAGAGATCTGCTTGTGTTTACTAGTGTCAGAGCCTGTGCCACATTCTGACCCGTACTCACAGCAGATTGCCTCTCTCGAATGTCCATTAAACACTCAGCTCTGCTCTTCTCAAGGGCAGTGCAAAGAACACTGATGCTAGAATCGATCCATTTCCTGGTTGCTTTTGATTCTAAGCTTCTGTGCTTTAATGTGGTCCCTTCTCAGACACAAGGTATCTTACAGAAAGGCAACACAGACTTAAGTTCTTCCAACCCATCCCCCAAGCTCTTGTACTGTATTTTGGAGATGCTCCACAAAATAATGCATTACCCCACCAAGTCACCACTGGAAAGCTCACAAAGAGAAGACAGTCTTCTGCAGGAAGATGCAGTCTAAGAGGCATCTCCACCATAGAGGTCTGGTGGCACACACAGCCCCCTGCCACAAGCCATGACCTTGCCTGCAGGGAACAAAGCAGCTTCCCAGTATGGAGGCTCCAGCCTCAGCCTCCGCCAGGGATCAAACACGTTGTCATGGCTTGAGTCTGTGCTAGAAACCAGATGTGTGTACCCCTCAGAGGCTCTGGAGTTCAGCTGACCACATGACAGCCCAGGACATAGAGCTGCTTTCAGTGAGTTCTCCTCCAGGGCAGCACTGTACTAGGACATGCTCACGCTGTGCTCCTTGGTTAGGTGGGTTTGCTTGAAGAGCAAAATCCTGTCCATCCTAGTAACAAGTAACCTCACTGACCTTCGTCAGATAATTAGGTTGATTATGGAGAATATAAATCACTCCTACTCTGCTCTGTTCCCAATAACTTTAAGTAAAAAGAGTAGATCCACAATCCATCTTTACAAGGAGTTACATGGAAAAGGCGAGGGGTAATGGGTACAAGTGACTCCTGGGGAGATTCTGATTAGACACAAGGCAATGAGAACAATCAGCCATTGCAATAATCTCCCTAGGGAAGCGGTGAATTCCACAAACATTGGACACTTTTAACGTTCAGCTGAAAAGGGTGTTGGGCTGCCTTGTCTAGACCACATTTTTGCCAAGAAAGGTTGAACTAGATAGATGATCCTTGAAGTCCCTTCCAACCTGGTATTCTATTCTATGATCCTTAAAGCACCTGAGAGCTTTCATATCACTTATTTCTTGGGTCACACAGAATTTCTACTATTAAAGTCCTGTATCTAAGAGAAGTAGAAGCCTGAGAAATTAGCACTCATTGACTGTAACAGAAAAGATATCCTCTCAGTCCAGAAACACTGCTGTGATTCTTGTACCTCCATGTATGTAGATAGAAGTTTACTATGTACTCACTCCTGACTCAATGATCCACTCAACTTTCTCAGAGATATCAATTTCAGGAACACATTTATTCTCATAATACCACATAACTAGTACAATTATCTCTCTGATGATTAATGGCATGGAAGCCACGGGTATCAGGACAATACTGTCAGTTGATATAACCCCGTAAAGCTGCAGTGACAAGAAAGATGCTCTCTGGTCTAAATGGACAGATGAATTTGTGCACCAGTTTCCTGTGATACCTAATCACCATGCCAGCCTGCCTGTGAAATAGAGGTGATGGGAAATGAGGTGTCACTTACTGCTATGACAAGACTGCAACAGGCTAAAATATTCACGCACAGGCAGGGCACGGGAATTTACACAACATGAAGTAATTTGTCAAAAATGATTAATACACAGCAAGGCACTGGATTAAAAATAACACTGTACAAAAAAAAA